TATCATTTCATCTTTGATGTTTCAATATTCATGGCTTGAATATGTGTTTTTAGTTAGGATTCTTTTCTGTTTTTGAAACTTCTGCTGTTTTCTGTGTGTGCATGTGTGTGTGTGTCATGTGTTGAGGGTGGAGGTAATGAAACCTAAAGAGGAAGTTTTATTTTAAAAGTAGAGAGAGACTTAGCATAACATAGCATAACGATTAAAACTCTAGAGTTGAAAATACCTGAGCTTCAGTACTTGGCTCCTGACATTTTTCATTCAGAACCTTTGATCTTGCTTAAACAAGATAAATCTTTGAAGCTTAGTTTCCTCTTCTGTGTAATGAAGTGAGTAGTAATTAAAATGAAACAGAATAATGCAGGTAAAACATTTAACCCAAAAATCAAGTCCAGCTACATTCATTATACACTTTATAAAAACACAATCATGGATAAGCAGAACCCCTTTAAGACAACCTTATTTGAAACATATTGCTAAACCAAAGGAATATTTAGAACCCAGACAGACTGATCATTTCAGATCTGCAGATATCCTCAACCCAGAGGCTGAGCTGAAGCCAGAGACATAACCTGGAGTACAATGTGAGACATAACATGTAATAAATGCCAGTTGCTATTGTTTCTATTGAAATAAAGTGGTTTGGGGGGCAGCAAGGGGAATCTTGTAATGGAAGACTTCATTTTCTTTTAAAGGAATATAGTCCATGTAAATTGTTTAACATTTAGCAAACGTTAGATATTTAACTTTGAAATCTTAATTATTTGTGAGATGTGTAGAAAAGAAAGGAGATCAGATACAGTTTATGAAATCAGATGGAAATGTGGAGAGAGCCAGACCTGCATTGTCTTACTTCATTTCAAACAAAATAACTGACAAGTTGAAAAGATAAGTCTTGGGACAAATGGAATTGAAATGGGAAAATGTCACTGTGAAAACCCAAGTAGCAGGGGGTGGAGGGGAGATCATTTCTTCAAAGCAATCAGCTTTCAGTAGCTATCACAAATGGCAAATGGAACCAAGTCACAAAATAAATCTTCTTAAAATAAACTTAATAATAACTTCCAAAATGATTTACTAATCCTATTATAAAACATATCTACAAGAACTGATGCACAGATAAGAGGAAGAAAGACTCCCCAAAAATGGTAAATTTAAAGGAATGCATTCAGAGAATAGTAGCCACCAGTGATCAACAGAGGAAAGAGAGAAAGCAGAAATGGGAGGGCCCTAAAGATTGCCTCGGGGAGGCGGGGAAGGAAGCAGGTGATAACCTCACACATTGTGTTGTCTGACCAGCTTGTCCAACACCCCAAGTATGACTGAGTGGTTCTGCAAGTCTCACTCCTCATGTTGCAAACCTACAGTGGGAGGTTAAGCAGAGGAGAAAAGCGATTAGGTCCTAAGTGAAACTGAGGATGTATTTATACCACCTCCAGGTGACTAACACAGGGACTAACTCAGGTAGGAACTCAAACAACACATTTAAACATGACAGGGTGTAGACTTTGAGGGGTTACTAGCAACTAGAGTAATAAAGAAGTACTGCCGGCCTGAAGACTCTCTTTCCTGAGCCCTTCAAATGATACCTTAAAATTCTTTTGCTTCTTTTAGTGGAAAGTAGGTCATTTTCAAATCAATTCCTGCAGAGAACAACAAGAAATGTTTATTTTAATCGGTTGAAAAGCTCTGGAAATCTTAAAGAAGATTATAAAATCAACATCCAATGAAGCACTTGGGGCTTCTTTTCCAAATTTTCTGATTCTAGAATCAGCGTCTCAGAAGTTGGGTAGTTAAACAAAGACTTTGTGGGGTCCCTCTCAGAATCTTAGAAATGATATAAAGATGGTTTAAAACTGAATGTATTTGAGGTTCAACCGCTGCAAAAAGAAAACCTCTCAGAGATGTTCAAATCTGACTCGAAGCATAAATTTCTGAGAAATGAAACCACCATAAATTCCTTCTTCAAGCAGTCTATTCCCAGAAGGACAGTAGGCAAGGCTGCCACAAATTCCCCCTTCAAGGAGCTTTATGGTCATGAAGGAGACAAAAAGACCAGTCATACCTGCATTCACAAATGTCACAAACTTTTTATCTGGCATCTGTGGTCCCCCCAAAAATCTGTCTGTTATTTTTTTAAAAATTAATTCTTCCTTTAAGAGCCTTTTCTTCCCCCTCCTTTTTCCCTGTTAAGTTGAGTACATAAGTTCCAAATTCTAACTGTTCTCTGAGTTAGTTACTCAGCATTGAGCTCTGCAGGGTGTGCACATTACACATATGAATAAGCTTCTCCTCCTGCCAATATGTATTTTGTCAGTTTAATTCACAGGCCACTAGTTACAGAACACAGAGGGATAGAGGAACTCACCACTTCAGTAAATCAAGGGGCCAGGATAATGGAGGGTTCACAGGCAGAGACCCTGGTAAGATTTTCATGAGTGACACCAAAGAGCTATACTCTTAGTCTTACATAGGAGTGGAAAATAAGTAGCCTAACCCTCGTAAGGACTGCAAACCTGATTTGACTCATTCAACCCTGATGAGAGTACAGTAAACTGATTACTATTACTAGTGCTATGGCTAGCTGCATGCCAGAAATCCCGTCTGCAGTAGGATATCAGCATGTAGCATCAGAAATTATCTTTGCTGAGTTTTTGTCATAAAAAGAGAGAGAGGCAGAGAAAGAAAGGGAATTTTAGCTCAAAACATGGGAATAAAGAATACGTCATGAATTTAAATGGAGAAATCCGTGAGTAGAGCTGCCCTAGGGGGAGGGAGAGCAGGAGCGGGAGTTGGATGCTCAGTGTGAGGTGTCTATTTTGCACACAGGGTGAATATCAGGAAGAAACCAGAATCTACGAATGTAGAATTAGAGATTCTAGAGTATGAACTATAGATGGCATTAAACTGTGAGACGGGCTGAGGTCACCAAGGAGGTAAGAAAGGATTCAGGACTTACAGCTGATCCAATCCAGTGTGAGAAAGAGGAAAGAGGAGAGAGAAGAGAGGAAGAGTGGAGGAAGAGTGGAGGAGGGGAGAGAAAGGGAGCAGTGGGGAAAGGAAAGGAAGGGAGGAAGTGACGGTAAAAGAGCAATAAAGGAGTGTTCTGATAGGTTGGAAAAGTATCTCAAGAAGGAGGGAATAACCAAGTGACAGAGCACGTAGAATGGGGATTGACAACAAACCACTGGGTTTCACAACATGGAGGTGACTGATAACATAAAGAAACAGCTGTTGGGGACTAAGAAAGAATGCCTACTTGGCAGAGTTTAATTTTAAAAAATTAATAAAGATAATTAGGATAAAGCAAAAATGAAGAGTTCTTTCAGAGATATTGTGGCAAGGAGAAGCAAATAAATGAGATGAGAGCAGGAGGAGTAAGATTGAGAAACAGACTGTACCCCCTCTTCCATATCTGCTCTGAAAACTTAATTTATGGTGAGGTTATTCCTTCATTTTAAAAAAAAAAAAACAAGATCCATAACAGATTAAGATTGAAAAAGCATCAGTTACAATTTTTTAAATAGTTATCACTAACATATTCCATAAGTAAAAACACGATATTGAGGATTTTAGCAGCTAAATCCAACTTTGAAAGAATTAGAAATTTTATGACTGATAAACTATAATAAAATGAAATGAAGAACTTAGTAAGTGGATTTTTAATTTTAGTTTAAGATGGGGATTGCATTTCTGTCCATGGCCAAGTGAATTTTGTCAATCATACCACCTAATTCACAGATAATAGCTCTAAACTCTAACAAATGATTTATTTTTTAAAAAAAAAAGTAAGGTAGAAGAAAGAAAAGTACCTGAAGCCCTGGTAGAGGGACCGAAAGCAGGCAGAATCTGCGGGGAGGAGAGTCAAACTTTGCAGGAGAACATCAGCAGTAAGCGCGCTCTCCACGTTTCACAGTTTCTACCTGGGGAAGGGCACCAGCCCCAGCCCAGCAGGGTGGCTAGAACACCAAGAGAAAACCTGCCACCTTTCCGTGGAAGCAGCCAGAGCACAGAGTTTAGAGCCACCACAGAGGGCATGAAATGAGGGGGAGCAATAGGCAGGGAAGAATGAGAGGGAGCCCCACATTCTGCTTTAAGTCCCTGTTTTGCTTTTTTTTTTTTTTTTTTGAGACAAAGTCTCACATGCTGTCCTGGCTGGACCTTGAACCCCTGATCTTCTTGTCTTGGCCGCCCAGGTAGCTGGGATTACAAAGGCATTTTTGTGCTTCTTTTTACATTGGATCTGCCTAGAAACTAGGCAGTTTGGCAGGATGAAAGCCAATTCCATCGAAGTGAGCTTCCTAAAACGTAGCTCTGACCCTGTCACTTCTAAGTAGAGCCCTCACTGATCTCCACCTCCAGCAGGGTCACACCCAGCTTGAGGCACCCAGCTCCCCGGCTGTGAGACCTGGAGTTTCTCACTTGACCTTCCCAAGCCTCAGACTCCTCATCCCTAAATGGATTATAAAGAGGGCCTGCCTCCCTTGGAGGGCAGCCAGTAACATCCAGGCAGGAAAACTGAAACCGCTGTAGTACATCAAAGAGAGGAAATTGAATATGGAGAGACTGAGATACCAAATGCGGATGTTGTAGTTAGCAGGAAGGATGTATACCTAGAGAGACCTTCCCTGAGTGTGGGAATGAAAATATTAAAAGGTTTCTCTGGGTGAAATCTCAGGAGAAGGGGTCTTAGCTCATTCTGGATTTTAGGGAATAGCTTCAGGAGAAGCTGGGTCTTGGAGGCTAATGGCTTTGCTGAGGATGTTGAGGATCCATCAGAAGGATTTGAGGAGGGGAAACAGGATCAGATCTGTGTATGAAGGATGAATATAGAGAAGCCCAGGCATCTGAGCTCGGCATCTCTGTAACACAAATTCAAGGTCACTCTCGATATGGAGTGAGTGTCTTGGTCCGTTTGGACTGTTGTAGCAACATATCAGAGGCTAGATGGTTTAATAAGCCGCCGAAACTTCTCTTAGTTTCTGGAGGGTGAGTCAGTCTAAAACCAAAGCAGCAGCAGAACACAGGTCTGGTGAGGGCCTGTCTTCTAATTTGAAAATAGCACCTTCTCAGCATGTCCTGGCAGAGGTTTCTCTCTAGAAGTCCTTTTTTGCATTTTTAATTGCACTGTCCAGGCTGCTTCAGTGTTCTGAATTGACTCAAAATGCTTACCCTTCCTGATCATTTTGATTCTGGGGAAAGAGCCAGACCCAGTGAGAAAGATGGACAAGGACACACCATGATAGTTCTATTTGACAAAAATTGCCATAAATGTTGTGAATCAATTTAGGACATCTAGGCAGCCGCTAAAGACAGATGTTCAGAATTGCTTTGGAAAGCGGAAAGAATGATGGGGTAAGTGTGTTTGAAATGGGAGTAAATATTCTGAGGGGGATTCATGTGAGTGTGTCTTTTACTATAATAAAATTTTTATTTAAACATTCACTGTATTTTTATCACACCTTGCAGTTAATGTATATAAGTAACAAAACTTCCTTTTTAATTTTTTATTATAACACCATGTGTCTAACACATAGACCACAGGTTGGATCGGTCTGCCTGAGCTGAGTACAAGCTTTACTAAAGCAAACCCAAACTCATGATATCAAGAAAAGAGAAAGCCAGTTCCTTCTAACCAAAGGAAGAGTGCTGAGGAGAAAGGTGTGTGGTAGGAAGATCAGGTGGTATGTTATGACCATTTCCCACCCAATGAAAATCTTACAGAGAGAAATGCATTAGACATCCAGTAAAGAGAGGTGAGGGTTGAGTTTAAGGGGACTTCCTCAACTTCCTAAAACAGAAAATTGGAGAGAACCTACAGTGCCTGCAACATGGTTAAGCACAAGCAAGTTCCGCACTCAGGAGCTCTCTTGGCTGTGGTGTGATTTGCAAGCTACCTAAAAGGTCAAGAGTTCCAAGTGTCTACACAGAGGGCAGCAGGCAGGCAAGAACATGCTTGCTTTTAACAACCCAGATGACCCTGTGGCATACAGTGGCAGGGTAGAGCTCCCTGTCTGAGGGCCAATTAGGATCACAGAAGGACTTCAAGGACACTCAGCATATCAGGGAGGCCCACAGGGCCCTCACCAGCAGGAAAAAGAGGTTGAGAGTTCGGCCACAGATTCGAGTAGGGTGAAATATAAGGGACGCCATCTCTACAGAGATCAGCGAGGGCTAAGGAGAAGCCAATGAACACTGTGGGGCCCCAGGAACCACTTCTCTTTAACCATACACTGCCTTATGGAAAACAAGAAAATATCTGAAACATTAGTAAATTATCAAACGAAAGCAAAAAGAGGAAAAAAGGGCATGAAATTATTAATATTGGAGTACTTGCCTAGTGTGTCTGAGGCCATGGGTTCAATCTCCAGCATGCAAAAATTTTAAAGAGGTGAACCAACTTAGACTAAATTTTGGAGGGTTTTCTTTTTCCCTAGTACTCAATATTTTTCATCAATAAAGATCTTGCATTATTTACAGCTTGAATCTTGCTTATCTCATTTAACTTCATCTCCTAGAAATGTTCCTACGCCAGTTCATAAAGACCTACCCCATTCTTTCAACTGACCAGGTGCTAGCCCATTCAGTGCAGGTTGATTACCCCTTCCCTGAAAATGCTTGGGACCCAAAGTATTTCAGATTTGGGATTTCTTTAAATTTGAGAAAATTTATGTATACGTAATGAAACTTCATAGGATAGGATCTAAGTCTAAACATGCAATTTATTTATGTCTTATATACACCTTATACACATTGCACAAAGGTAATTTTATACTTTTTTATTACACCTATGTTTTGACTCTGACCCATCATATGAGGTCAGGTGTGGAATTTTCCACTCATGGTATCATGTTGGCCCTCAAAAACCTCCCACTTTTAGAGCAGTTTGGATGTTTTGTTTTTTAGATTAAGGATGCTCAAGCTGTATAACAATATTTAACCAGCACAGTAAGAAATGAGATATGTCATAGCCACTCTACCATTTAGGACAGTGCTATAATTCCTATCCTTGTGAAGCACTGCTCCTGCATCAAACTCAAGGGCTTGGTTCTCTTCCCACATTTTTACCAGGAGTTGACCCTGTTCCTCTTAAGTCCAGGGGAGGGCCCACCTGGCCTGGCCTGGCAGGGAATACAACTTCAATACAGATTTTAACTTCCTCTTACCAGAAGCTGAGAGTCCACAACACCAAGTAAGTCCAGTAGCCTGGTTATCATGAGTAGCATCACAGTAGTCACTGTAGACCAGGCATGGAGTTACACCTTGATAGAGGTTTCCTCACTTCGCAGTTGGGCAATACCTGGCTGACTCAGAGGTAGTAAGTACTTTTAATTAATTGTATGCTGGATGGTTAATCTTGATTGTCAACTTGATTGAACTGAAAAGCTCCTAAAGAGGTGTTTGGATTCTAAGAGTGTTAACCACTGAGAAGTTCATTAGCTGAATGGGCTGTTTTTCCCAGTTGGAAAAAAGTAGGTCACTGGGAGCATTTCTTGGAAGGATACATCTTGCCCCGGCCCCTTCCTCTTCATCTCTTTCCATCTCTTTCTCTGCTCCCCAGATGCCACGAGGTGAGCAGCTTTCATCTGCAGTGCCTTTTCACCATGATATGCCTGGCTAGCTGACCATGGACTGAACCCCTTTGAAACCATGAGCTAAAGTATATCTTTCCTCCTTTGAACTGTGTCAACTATTTTTATCCAGCAACAGAAAGATTACTAATACATATGTAAAGTGGCCCAGGCAACTCGTATCCCAAAATGAATTTCCTGACAGCCTGAGTTACCTTAGCTCTCCTTGTCTGGCTATGCCTCCCATAAGAAACCAAAAGGATTGTATCAAACTGTGCCACCATTTCTCAAGCAGCCTCCATGAGCTCCTTCAGCTTATATAGTTTTAAATTATATCAATCTGCTGTGCTGAATTGGATCTGAACATAGATTCAGATTAAGTTTGGGATGCAAACTAGGGTTACTTAAATGCCATGTATATCCCTGATTGGCTACTCATAGGTCTAAAATTTGCACCAAGTATAGGGTATTATAATTTTCAAATAACATATATCCAGCAAGATTTTAAAATAATTTATTGCCTGATAGCCTTAGACTAAAATAATTAAATATATGCATTACTTAGACATTATTGTTGTAAATAACTTTTGTTAATTTACATTAACATAAATTATGGCTCATTCCAGGCAATTTTCACTCACGGGTTTGTTTTCTTCTATATTTTATCTCAATCATTCTGAAGACTTTTATTTATTTAAATATATACTTCTTAGTTCCTTTATTTTTGAAACACAGTCCTGCAGAAACTAAATATATATCAAAGTACATTTGTTCATTATTCATGGTAGGAGTTACCATTTCAGGGTACTAATCTCTGGGTAAGCTGTGGTAGCAACAATAGCTATAACAGCTAACTCCCAAAACTTTCTCTGGCTTAGCACATTTGAGTTTCTTTCTGGTTTGAGTCAATTCTAATCAGTGGCATGGGGTCGGGTACAGGTTCTGCTCCAGGCATTCAGGGTCCAAGATTATTGCAGGTTCTACGCCACCTTCACCACAAGGTCATCAGGGCATAGACAAAAGAAGGAGTATAGACGTTTCAGAGGCTTTTGAACCAAGCCCTAAATTGGAAATGCATCAAGTATGTCAACATTCTCCTGGCAAGAATGAGGTCACTCTTCTTACCTAGCTGCAAAACAGATTGAGAAATGCAGTTTACCTGTGGCCCAGGTTAAAAAAAATCATTTACCTTTGACTGAATGATACTACTCCTGGTATTTATCCTAAATAATTAATCTAAAATATAGAAAATTTTATATATGCAAATAAATCTTGTAATAGTGAAAAACTGAAACCTAGAAATACCCCATTTAGGCAAAATTAATTTAATTAAATTCTAATGTAGTCATTTAACAGATTGAACTTAATGTAGCCATTTTAAAAAGATTTTGTTATGCTCACGCAGACACAATGCGGAATGCTTATCCTATAAATACTGTATAAATGAAATAAAATCAGAGTCCCAAATTTGATATACTGATTGAAATTCTATTGAAATGTTCACAGTAAAATATAACATGATAGAAACTACTAATAATTTAAAAAGCAGTTATAATAATGGTGATCATTTAATGCATTCCCAAGACAGTATAGCCAAAGC